GTGCCCGCAGTGCCCGACGGTGGGCGGCGGCGCCCCGCGCGGCGTGCCGGCCGCCCGGCGCCGTCGCCCTCCAGCCCGCGCTGCGCCGGCACCGGCCGCCGGCGAGCCGTGCGCCGCAGCGGGAGGCCCTGCCTCGGCAGCCGCCGCCGCCGCCGGCCGCTGCCAGCGCTGCCCGTCTGGCTGTGCGCCAGATGAAGCAACGCATGAGGTCGCTCGGCATGTGGGACGACGGCGATGGCCGTGAGTGGCGGTTGCGGGGGTTCCCGGTGGTGCGGGGCCTGACTAGCGCAGTCAGTGGCGGTTGCGGGGGTTCCCGGGGTGGTGCGGGGCTCGACTAGCGCAGTCAGTGGCGGTTGCGGGGGTTCCCGGGGTGGTGCGGGGTCGACTAGCGCAGTCAGTGGCGGTTGCGGGGGTTCCCGGGTGGTGCGGGGCCCGACTAGCGCAGTCAGTGGCGGTTGCGGGGTTCCCGGGGTGGTGCGGGGCCCGACTAGCGCAGTCAGTGGCGGTTGCGGGGTTCCCGGGGTGGTGCGGGGCCCGACTAGCGCAGTCAGTGGCGGTTGCGGGGGTTCCCGGGGTGGTGCGGGGCCCGACTAGCGCAGTCAGTGGCGGTTGCGGGGTTCCCGGGGTGGTGCGGGGCCCGACTAGCGCAGTCAGTGGCGGTTGCGGGTTCCCGGGGTGGTGCGGGGCCCGACTAGCGCAGTCAGTGGCGGTTGCGGGGTTCCCGGGGTGGTGCGGGGCCCGACTAGCGCAGTCAGTGGCGGTTGCGGGGTTCCCGGGGTGGTGCGGGGCTCGACTAGCGCCGCCGGTATCGGTTGCTCACACGGGAAGCATGTGCTCAATGAGGGAGACCGTCCAACTTTGCGAGAATTGAAATGCATGGCAAGAACTAGTTGTTTCTGGGCGATATTTCAGCTTCGTATGCAAAACCAACCATTCTTCTGGTGCCGCGCTGGGGATTACGTCAGAGCGTGTTGGAGCATGACGTCAAACGTGTGGAATTAATCCCTGTTGTTCGACTTGTCCGTAACGAGGCTATTTTTAACTACATGTTTGTCGTGGCAACGGACGGTATGTCGGGGCATCGAAGCAAGGTTCATTCTGCGTAGATTACTCTGGGGTAGTCATTACTATGCAGGCTGAGCATGCAACAGCCAGTGAGTTCTGCTGTCGCTACCAGCGGGCCGTCGCACCACCTTTGATAACGAGTATCCTCAGTATCACCGTACGTCTGGCCTTAACTGCTGTACCGTCCACTCTCGCTACCACTGCACCACCGCCGCACCTCCGTGTCCCGTCCACCCAGCGGCGGTGTGACGTCAGTGCCGGTGTGACGTCAGCGACGGTGAGACGTCAGCGCCGGTGTGGCTGTTTCAGCGGCGACCGACTCGGACGGCAGCGGCACGGACGTGCGCGGGGTGCTGGACAGGGCGCGCCACTTCCTGCACCGGCAGGCGGCGGGCGCCGGCCGGCGACACCCGGCCACGGTGGGTACCGGGCTGCTGCACGACGGAGGGGCGCCGCCCGGCCGGCCGCTGCTGCCGCGGCATGGCCGACCCGGTCCCGGCCGCAGGTGTGGCCGCAGTCAGCGCTCACGTGGCTCTCCCAGTTCTGGTGCCGGCGACAGTTGGGTGAGCCGTCCCCGTGTCGGCTCTGACCCCGTACTATCCCCGGTGCGGCAGTTCGTGGGATTTCAGCCGTAGTCGCAGCTCACTCGAAGCCTGTGAATCGAGGAATGAAGAAAATGAGCATAGTCTTTGTCCGACATTCCTTCGTGCGGGCGACGCAGTGGTGTTTCGAGCCCACCGGACCGGCTTGTCAATCGCATGCATATATTGAAACGTCGTTAAGACGGAGGGGATATGTTTTGAGCGTCGTCTTCGAAGGAATATCCGCGACGTCCATCGGAGGCGTTTGGCGCCGTTTTAGAGATAGTAAGCCCGAATGGAACGGGATGAAAAGCCCGAAACCGCGCCCTGCTAGGACGGCTGATCAAGGCAAAGTGTATGCCCTATTTCGTGTAGCTCTCCACTTAGGTAGCTTCCGCTTACACCGCGCACGGCGTGCTAACCGCAGGTTTACATACACCGTCGCAGGTGCATGCATCTCGGCCACCTGTACTGGGTCAGCGGGCTATGGGCCCGATCTCATCTTGCGTGACCACGTTAATTGGGTTACTGATGACGGCATTATTACCTTACGTGACGTCCCGAATGTTGATGAGGGGCCCAAAACAACCACGGTGCATGGCGCTAATATCACGTCACGTGATCGTGGTGCGTACATTGTTCTGGGAGGGGAGTTTTGGGGCAGCGTGCCCTCAATACGTCCCGCTGCATATTGTATGCTCTGGAGGAGCTGCGTTTTGAACACCGACGCAATAATCGACTCAGAAATCATGGCGCTGACCCTGTCCTGGGGAAGGGGGGGGGGGCTGGGCACGACACCTAGCGCGCTGCTGGTGTGTGCGCATGGTCCGCGGCTGGACCAGCCCGTATCTGCGTGCCGTGATGGTCTGGACCTGCTCCGTTCGTCTGACTTCTGGGGGTCGTCCGGCCGGCGCCTCGGCATCCATAGGGACGACGTGACACCGGCCTGCCCGTAGCCTGGCCGCGGCTCAGCCTCGTCCGGGCCGAACGGCAACAGGACACTCGGTGGACGCTGGTGCATCGGAGGACGACGCGAAGCAGCGTTGGAGATGGGCTCTACAATGCCGGTTCGAACGTCGTGTAGAGTTCACAGAGCCAGTCGGAGTGGCTGCAAATCCAGCGGGGCTGCCAGATCACACGCATCGCGCGTTTCACGACAGGCGCCCGAAAAGCAAGGCTGAGCAGGGGAGCTCGTGAGGGGGTTGGTTGTGGTACTGAGCGGACAGTGAAGCGAGCGGGGATCACTGGGATACACCTCGGCCCATCAGGACGCGATGACATACTGTTGGCCGCTCACCAGCAGCACGATTTGGCCAGTGGTAGCGAGTTTGCTACTGGGAGCTCCATTACTTGCTGTAGTGTCCCAGCTTCAGTAAAGTGTCCCTGCTTCAGTATAGTGTCCCGCTCCAGTCGGATCCGACGATGCCTGTGCTTCCTGACGCAATAAGGTTCCGGAACTGAATAAGTGGGCAAAGGTACGGACAGCAGATGTTCGTAACGGATGATGTCTGTACCGCATTTGGTTGCATCACAACTGGCATAGCTGCGAAATGCAAGCCCTCGCATCGCCGCATTCTGGGTAGGCAATGCTGTAACGTCATCACGGGACTAAATCATATGGCACCAATATGACGGCGGCGTTAAAACGCTGTTTTTGCGGGTTGGTTCAATATAAATATCCTCATAATCCGGATTTTTTGCCAAGTCCATTCAACAAGCATTTTCAACTGGGATTTGGTATTAGCTACAAAACTGGCAGAGCTACAAAACTATCGCTGAAATGAGCTTCCAGCCTGCTCCCAACGGTGAGATGGGGTTACCCATTCATCTGTGATTTATTCTGAAGAGCTCTGCCGGAAGTGCTTAGAAAAGTGTGTGAAAGAGTACAACATACATTAACAACATAGGGCGGAGATGAGAAACGGCGGCCCAGACGGGCGCGCAGCGCCCTGGGACGCGCATTGGAAAGTGGAAATACACATCCTGGACCCTTAGGAGGGGCGTTGTCGGGGTGGATGCAGGGCTGGCCTGCCCTAATGGGGGTAGTGAGTGGTGAACCCGGAGGTGTAAATGTGGCGCGCGCCCATTCCAGTTCAAGAGGGCAGATTTCCTGTGAAATGGAACTGTTCCGGCAAGTTTTGCGATTTTCTGCCAGTCAAAGTGCCATAGCCAATATCTCAGCTCGGAAATAGTCTTGGGGATATATTGGGGCAGTCGGGGCATTCTTCCCTACGCACCATTTTCCCCCGAACCTATTCGACATGGTGGATGTGCAAGTTAACCACCGCTTTGGGAGGATCATGACACAGTAGCAGTGAAATTATTGGCACCTGCCCCCATCACATCAACGTATTCGTACATTTCACTCAATATAGGTTACTACAGCACGAAGAAAGATGGCAGTCATTGCCCATGAATAAGTTTGATGTAAAGATTACATGCGATTTTTTACTAACAAATCTTCAGTTGACGAAAAGGCGTTACACATCGATATTCAGGCGCATTGGACATGACAAACACTGGTGCAGGTGCCGGAGCTGGAAAACGGAGTTTAGTAGGACATATTTTAGAAGCAGATTCTGGTACTGATTTGTCTTAGAGGGGTTTGAAATGCAAAATGTGTGATCTGTTAAAAAAAACGTTGCAATAAAGATGCGAAAAAGGATGGCAACCCAGTTTATTGGCGAAATCTCCGTTTTTTTTTAACCATATTGCTGGTGTCGACCAACCTTTTCATAGTACCAGCCAAGTGTCATACGACGAGCTACCAAACTTTAGTTCCATGGTGACGTCATGTTTGCGCGGCCTTTTACTCTAGAAGCCTTAGGGTTATGTACGTACCGCAATAATCGTATCGTAGTGATTTGTATGCGCAAATGTTCGCACCGTTACTGTCCGTACCGTTACTGCTCGTAACGTTACTGTTCGTGCCGTTACGGTTCGTTCCGTTACTGTTCGCACCGTTACTTTTCATACCGTTGCTTTTCGTGCCGCTACTGTTCGTAACGTTGCTGTTCGTACCGTTACGGTTCGTACCGGTACTGTTCGTACCGTTACTACACGTAACGTTACTGTTCGTAACGTTACTATTCATACCGCGGCTGTTGTGTCGTTACTGTTCGCACCGTTGAACGGCTTATGTTTGCAAACGCTTACGTTCGTATGGGGGATGTTTGTGAACGCAAATGTGATGCACGTACACGGACGGACCGGCAAACATAGGCCCCTTAATTTAATTATCTACATTTTCGCCGTGCCAAAGACTTGCCATGCCGGGCCAACTTGTATGGATCCGCAAGACGCATGACCCTGCGTAGCTCTGTGCATAGCCAATAACCGTTATGTCGCCGTGTATGCAGTGTGTCGCGCTTATTGTATCAAGTAGCTGCATGGCCTAAGGTGAACCGACAATTGCATTAATTTGATCCACTAAACTTATTGCTTTTGCTTGCATCGTCAGCATATACGGCATGCATGTTTCCTTCTACAAACATTGGCGATGCGAACATCACATGCTTTGCGAACATTCACAATCCGAACTTTTCGGTGTACGAAAAGGTGAGGCACGAACATTTGCACTTGCGAGCACCTGCGACGACGAATACCTGCGGGTTCAAGCATCTGTGTTATGGATAGTTGAAAGAGCGAGCATTGATGCGCACACGACAATTAGGTTCACGAGCGTCTACATTACGGATACCTGCGATAAGGAACATATGCCTACGCACATTTGCGCGTGAACCTATGCACATCTATATGTACGTTTGTCTTTCCTACATTTGACAAGAAATCTGGAAAGTGAGATAGGAGAAATCTTTTGCAATATTAACGCACTTACGACGTGCTGGCCCACCGGCCGGTGCCATATTTCGTCGCTGCTCTGTCGGCATCAAGGCTGCGCCGCCTGTGAGCCAGATATGACTGTCATGGTCGCGACCCAGGAGCGCCAGCCAATTAAACATGAGCGGTGCCGTCTGAAGGCTGGGTTTCCCCTGCGGCCGGGCGGATCGGCTCGGCGTAATGCCGAAGATGAGGCGGCAGTCGCGTCGAGCTCCATTATTGTCATGGGTCGGCCGGTCGGGACTCACCTGTTGTCCATCGGACCGGGCGATTGCCGAGTCCCGCCTGTCGGCTGCCTCTGACGCTATCACTGCCTCTGACGCTGTCGCTGCCTCTGACGCTGACACTGCCTCTGACGCTGGCACTGTGCTGCTGTCACTGCACTTGACGCTATCACCGCGCAGCTGCCACTGCCTCTGACGCTGTCACTGCAGCTGACTCTGTTGCTGTTCGTCTGCCACTGCGTCTGACGCCGTCACTGCATGTGACGCCTTCCTGCCAGTACCCTGCCGGGCGCGGTGCGAGGGCCGCGGCCAGCTTGTTCGTGCTGGCGGTGGCGGCGGCGGTCAGACTGGCCGTCCTGCTGACTCTGAGCGGGCCGCGGCCTGCCTGTGACCTTGGGCAGCGTTGGCACTGTGGGAGCCAGGACGGGTGCAGACTGCAATCGGCCGTTGCGTCGCCGCTCATTGTCCGCAACCCTCTCCGTCCCGTCTTTCCCTATCACTTCCTTGCTCTGTCCTGTTCCCTTCCACTGTCTTGTTCTCGTATCGCTTCCAGCATTCCTTCGTTTCGCGTTGCATATGTGTGCATGTCCGCATTTATCTGTGGTTTCCGTTTGGTTCCCGTGTTGCATTACGCTCTGTTGTGCACGACCCACCTGTCTCCAGGCACTTGTCTGCCACCTGTTGTTCAACGCGTTGGTGGACTGCCTGTAAGGCTCACTGTGCGTGCGACCTATCAGCTAATGGCCTGTGTGGCCCACTGTGCGTGCGACCTATCAGCCAGTGGCCTGTGTGGCTCACTGTGCGTCCGAGCTGGCAGTCAATGATCTGTGTGTCTCACTGTGCGGCCGAGCTGTCGGGCAATGGCCTGTGTGGCTCACTGTGCGTCCGAGCTGTCAGTCAATGGTCTGTGTGGCTCTCTGTGCGTCCGAGCCGTCAGTCAATGGTCTGTGTGACTTACTGTGTGTCCGAGCCGTCAGTCAATGGTCTGTGTGGTTCACTGTGCGTCCGAGTTGTCAGTCAATGGTCTGTGTGGCTCACTGTGCGTCCGAGCTGTCAGTCAGTGGTCTGTATGGCTCACTGTGTGTCCGAGCTGCCGACAGGCACAGCATGGTCAGCCGTACCGGTCTGGTCGGCTGACGGTTTGTGTGGCCCGCCGCTTCAGGAGCCGTCGGACTCGGAGGACATCTCGACGGATGACGAGGAGCGCTCGGCCACGGAGCGGGACATACAGCTGCGCGCCGTCACCCGACACTATCACCAGCTCAGACAGGGTGCGTACCTCACCCCACAGTGCCACCAGCTCAGACAGGGCGCGTCCTTCACCCGACACTACCACCAGTTCAGACAGGGTGCGTACCTCACCCGACACTATCACCAGCTCAGACAGGGTGCGTACCTCACCCGACACTATCACCAGCTCAGACAGGGTGCGTCCTTCACCCGACACTATCACCAGTTCAGACAGGGTGCGTACCTCACCCGACACTATCACCAGCTCAGACAGGGTGCGTCCTTCACCCGACACTATCACCAGTTCAGACAGGGTGCGTACCTCACCCGACACTATCGCCAGCTCAGACAGGGTGCGTACCTCACCCTACAGTGCCACCAGCTCAGATAGGGTGCGTCCTTCACCCGACACTATCACCAGCTCAGGCAGGGTGCGCACCTCACCCGACACTATCACCAGCTCAGACAGGGTGCGTACCTCACCCTACAGTGCCACCAGCTCAGACAGGGTGCGTCCTTCACCCGACACTATCACCAGCTCAGACAGGGTGCGTCCTTCACTCGACACTACCACCAGCTCAGACAGGGTGCGCACCTCACCCGACACCTTCCAGTCAACCCCCCGCCCCCCCCCCCCCCGAACCATCAGCGTCATCCTGGACAACATCCCGACTGCAGTCATAGCGCTTTTATGCCGGCGTGCTTGTGATTCCCGTATCCGTCCGTCTGCTGGTGCCCAGCGCCCTTGCCTGTCGCTCTCGCCTAATCACGTGCGTCCCTCTATGTGTCCGTTCGCCGGCTCCCGTGTCCTCGCACCGCCTGACGCCGCCGCCCTCCCGCAGAGCGGACACACGCCTCCGACCCGCAGCTGAGTGTGCGGCGCGCCGCCGGCTACCGGCCGAGCCGCAGCGAGCAGCTGCACGCCTCGCTGGCCGCCATCCACACCCATCCGGCGCCGGTGGCCGGCCGGGCCGCGCGGCGCCGGCTGCCGCCGCCGTCTCTCCAGCCGCCGCCGTCGCCTGCGCAGCCGCCGCCGCCGCCGTCGCCGCTCCGGCCGCCGCCGCCGCGGCGCCGGCCGGAGCGCTCAGTGCTGGAGCGCACCCAAGAGCTGAAGGAGTGGCTGAAAAAGGCCACCGTCGCCTGGAAGCTGGGCTCGCTGGACGTGTGAGACGGCGGTGCCGTCTGCGGAGGCGGCGCCCGGACGGTCCGCTCTCCAGACGGCCGTGGCGGCGGCGCCGTCTGCCGAGGCGGCGCCCGGGCGGTCCGCTCTCCAGACGGCCGTGGCGGCGGGCGGCGCTCACCGCCTGGGCTTCCGCCGCCGGGCGCGAGCAGCGCGGCAGCTCAGAGGTTCGCTGGGCGGCGGCCGGGGCTCCGCCGACAGCGACTCGTTCTGCTGCGGGAAGGGCGAAGCGTGCTGGACAGGACGCGGTGGGGGGTGGCGGGCACGGCGCGTTCCGGCATCGAAGGTCTCTCTGCGGCTGCGTGGCAGGGAAGCCGTGGATCATCCCCGGGGCGCCGTCGGTGTTGTTGTCGCCCCAGGGCTTGTGATCGTACTCGCTGTTGTGATCGGGCCGGTTGAGGGCGTGAGGTTTGTACGACGCGTGGCGTTTTCAGCTCAATGGTTCGTGGCACCCCTTGCTGCCGTCCAGCGTTGTTGGGGGTGGCTCCGCAAATGGCCAGCAGGTAACAGCATGCCAAATTCGCCGTCCTTACAGTGAACGACGTTAGACGGGCTGCAGGGGGCGTGGTGTAAGCGGTAGTTCAATGAACATATCAGTATTTAGACGGCGGGCGCCCATCCCATTGCGTTGGCGATGATCGTCACCACCCGGCTGTCAGGCGACAAAGCATATATTTATATTCGCCGTGCCCTTCACCCGGCGTGGCTGGTCCATCATGAAGCGAGTGCTGAATGATTATGGGACGGTGCCGCTCTGCCGCGAGGCGGGTACAGTTTTCAGTCATATCGTGTCCTTCCGGGCTGCAGCCTCATGCCACTGCGAAGCTTTAACTCCCATACGTGTCGGCCTGCGTGTGCTCAGTGACAAATCGCGTCAGAATGTGTGCTAAGGCCATATGAAAAGCATGGCGTCCTTTGTGATGTGCAACCTTGCATTGATTCCCGCTTGGACGTCCGGGTGCGATCGTGTGTGATCCTGTATGTTGGTGCATATTGTGCATCGGCGTTTATCTCACTGTTGCTCTTGATGCCGTGGCGGTACCGTGCCGTGTTGACGTGTTAACGGTTTCATCTGACCGCATCGCTGTTTGGCGTCATTTCTGTCGTGAAATCGTACGTCTGCTCTCGAGAACCGTGGGCAGCGCCAGCTTACTAGTCACTAGCCAATGTCCTGCATGGTGACAGCCACTTAGATCTCATTTCTAGTCGACCCGGCTCAGGCAACCCGATCTGTACGAGATATGCTTTGAATCATCGGCAGCTGTTCGCGGCGCCGAGCGGCGTCGTGGCGCCTACGGGCGCGCGGTCCGGATCCCAATTGTTCTAGCACGTCACCGCCGCGCGCCCCGCCGCGCCACGTGCGGGTCTCCAACGGCGCTGGCGCGTCCTCCAGCCGGCGACACGCGAGCTGGGCGGCCATGGTCGTGGGCGCCGCCGCTGCCGCCGCCGCCGGCGTGGCCGCGGCTCCCCCGTGATGACGCGGGCGCTGTTCTGGTGCCGGGCGCCGGCTCCCGTCGGCTGCCGGTGCGGGGCTGGACCCGGCGGCCGTAGGCCGCGCCTGCTCCGAGCGACCCCGACCGCCGCCGCCGCCGTCGGTGCGCGGCGAGCGTGTGCGTGTGTACGCGCGTGCGTGTGTGCGTGTGCGGCGCGGCTGTGGTTGGCTGTGTGTGGCGGCTCGCCCTCGCCTGGTGCCTTGTGTGGTGTGATGGCACCCCCGGTGGCCGGACGGCTGCCTCGCCTGACCCACCTGCTGCTCTAGTCTGGCGCTCAATAAAGCCTGGGTGACCAGCCGTGCGGCGGCGCGTGGACCGCGGACGACACCGGGGAGGGACGCCGCCGGACTGGGGCGGGCCTCTGCGGTCGGGCGTCCGTCCGTCAGCAGCCGCCAGACCCCGTGCCACACATCACTCGCCGACGCAGATGGAGAACGACATATGCTGGCACCGAGTCATTGCAGCAAACAGTGCCGGAGATGGAGTATGGGCGAAAGATTTTGACGAAATCGGTCCATCTAATTGATTAGGGTGCGAGCTGTTTATTGGTGACAATTTTTATCACATGTCGAGCGCTGGACCTACAGCAAACCATGTTAGCCGTTAACCGGAAACGCTAAGCGGTTATCCCGTCCAAGAATGCATGCAGGCATCCACCTTTTCAACCAAATGGTATACGAAATGTCACCTGGTCATTACTGCGCTCCCGTACGACCTGTGCGGTTCTGGAGTACGTATGAATATGAAGCCCGTTTCCGTTACAATGAGCGTGACTTAACCCGGCCTTTTGCCTCTGGATGACTGGATGGCAAATGCAGGTTACATTCACTTCAACGAACGATAATCTGGACGTTAGACATTTGACGGATTACAATTACATAACCTCATAATCGCATCGCTGGCAGCTGCCGTCTTGACGCATGCCAGCACACATCACTGAAAATCGACGCGATGACCTATGACCTTTCAATACCAGGTAGCCTCCGATTGAAGCATCCGGGGATGGGGAAATGCGCTCCAATAGGACAGTGAATGGCACCGCCGTCCGGCATCAGAGGCCGTATATCAGCGCTTCTAGCTAGGCCGGATACGGAAGGTTCCGAAATGAACAAGCTCGTTCAGGTTGGACATCTGCTTCGCAGAACCTGAGAGTCAAGTATGCGTGTGCGAACCCCGGGGCATGCAATGGTCTCTTTCAGTCCCGGTTTCGCCATGGCCCCTGCACGCTACTATGGCATCTGCGGTCGCCAGCGCTCACCCAGAGGGTACGCCGCAACGTGCGTCGCATTTCCTTCAAAAAGATGTAGTGCGTGAAGGAGCGATTCGAAATGCTCAGGGGCCATTTGAAGGGCTCAGGAGCCATCCGAAGGGCTCAGGAGCCATCCGAAGGGCTCAGGAGCCATCCGAAGGGCTCAGGAGCCATCCGAAGGGCTCAGGAGTCATTCGAAAGGCTCAGAAGCCTTTCGAAGGGCTTAAGAGCGTTTCGAAAGGTTAAGGAGCCATTCGAAGAGCTCAGGAGCGATTCAAAGGACCCAGGAACGATCTGGAGGGCCCAGAAGCCATTCGAAGGGCTCAGGACCGATCTTGAGGGTTCAGAAGCAACTCGAAGGGCTCAGAACCCATTCGAAGGGCTCAGAAGCAATTCGAAGGGCCCAGGAGCGATTCAAAGAACAACTTGGGCACAGAGTTGACTGGCACGGAGAGGCCTGAGGGATGAGTATGGGCTAGGGTGTCATCAGGCAAGTGCCTTCACGGAGTAATGACTCCTTCGTACCTTGCAGTGTTCGATGGCGCAGGCTGGATCAGGTCTGATATGTTGTGTAGGCGGCCGGACACCGTGAATACGGACCACACATAATGTGCTAGGTCGCTGCAGGTAGTCCGGGACCGTTTTAGAACCGAACGGTTCTAGTTTCGGGGTACGGTTGACCCGAATGTTGTCATTCCCCCCGGCCGTCAACACAAATAACCTGAAATGTTTGAATGCCCTGATTGGTTTATTCTCTTCAGTTTCCGTACCGCAATAGAGAAAACACCACATGCAACTTGACAAACACGACATGCCTTTCATTGAAGTGAGTGATGCTGTTGCGTTCGTGAAGTAAGAGCCGTATTCGGCTTTTCGTTCAAATTTAAATCAAGGTTCGTCCATAGGCCAGTTTAAAAGCTACTTTATTGAAATAAATCTGCTGTTTTCAATGCCAAAGTTATGGCCAGATGACAAACTCCACATCCTTCGAAAATGGAGCCCTACCGGGTGTTTTGAGCCTTACGATGGGGTTAGCCATCAGAAAAAGCACCGACCACGGGTTGTCGCGCCAG